GGGGGGGAGTGCCCACCTCTAATCGTGGGCGGATAAAGGGGAGGGGGCTGCGCTGGAGGAGAAGTCTGAGGAGGAGGGAGGCCAGGCGGACCGTCGAGCCAAGGCGCCTGGCCGCGGGCCAGAGGCAGCGTTCGCAATACAACCGCCTCGACGGCGGCGGCGCCCGGGTGCCACCCGGAGCCCCGCTCACGTGCTCCCGCCCGGCGGCGGGGTTAAAGGGACAGGCCGGGGATCCCGAGCCGGCTCGCTGCCGGCCTCGCCCCGCCCGCCGCCCGAGGTCGCCCCTGGGCGGTTGTCCTAGGAAGGCGCGGGAATGTGACTGTCCCAGAGCCGCGTTTAGGGGCTTGGCCTTTACCTGCACTTCCCACGTCGCGGAGCCACAACACTATGTAGGAAGCGTCTAGCTGCGCGCGCGGCAGAGTGCTTAGGTCCCTGTGAGTGGGAAGGGACTGAAAAGGAGTAGGAGTGGGCCCGCGGAAGCCCTGCTCTGCCTCGGAATGCCCTCATTACAGATTGCACGACACGGCGCGAGCACACACACACAGACGTGCAGGCAGATACACGTGCACACTCGCACAGGCACATGCACGCATAAACACACGGAAACAAACATGCGCAAACTTACATGCACCTAGATAGACACGCACATTCACAGATTACACGCACACGAGCAAACAATGTGCACACACGCACGCGGAGCGCGCTAACCTCTTCATTGAAATTTTTTTTCTTGGGGAAAGACTAGAGGCGACGCGAAGTCTCCCCCCCACACACACACCCATCCCCCGCTGGCGCTAAGCACCCCGGTCCCTATGCTAGCTGGGTAGAGGGGTTGCCCCGCGCGGGGACCTCGTAAGCTTTCTAACACCACAATTGCGCCAACTATCCAAGTCTCCCTTCAATTTACCTCGATTTAGCCTTCTCCCTAGGAACTCCCTTTCTGCCGAGACCTAATTTTATAGCTTGGGCTGTTTCATAGTTATGTGAACACCCTAATGACTGTAGTCCGTTTTTTTAAAGGTGGAGTACATTTTTAAATGTACCTCTTTTCATCCTTGAATAACAAAAAACTCTGAAAAAAATTAGGTTCAGATTTTCACACATCAAAACCAAAATTATTTTGGACTGATTCCAAAATAAAAACTTTCACCCGAGGAAGAATTTTTTTTTTCCAAAAATACAGACCACCGTGGAATAAAAACGCCTACTTTACATCCTTAAGCGGGGAGTTAGGCACCGCCAGGTTCCGCTGAGCCTGTGGAGAAGGCGCGTGTAAATGTCTGTCTCGGCGAGGCGGCGCTGATTGGTCCGCGTTGCCATTTTAAATCCATTTCCAGCTGCCCTTTGCAGAGCTGGGACACTTAGCTGCACGTTGAGTGCCCTGCAGAAACCCAGGTTTCTCCTGGGTCTGGGAACGCTTATCTGTGATGGAGAGGGAGAGTCCCCATCCCTCCGGATGGAGCCCAGCAGCTGACTGGGGAGGGAGGGGTCTAACAGGAACCTAAGGTTTTCTGCCAGGGCTTGGCTGAAAGATGGTATCTTCATCAAAGCGTTTGAAATTTCGTGTACTAACTGTTACAGTGACATTTCCTAACTGCCAAGTTTGTACATTTTTTTAGTATATGTGCTGCCGAAGCAAGCACAAGTTTGTACATTTTTTAATGTGATCACATTCACACTGTAATGTGCACGTTTTACATGCACGTACAAAATGGGCTTCTGGGTTTGTTTTTGTTTGCTTCCTTTTTGCAAGGACTAGAGATGCAATTCTGAGGGCGAATGTAAGAAAAATAATTGAGGATTTCAGCCAGCCAGTTTCCTATTGGGTACATTATATTCCTGGATTTTTTTTTTCCATATTCACAGGGGCCTGCGAGGAAGGGGTTCCAAATTTTTATTTTTGCATACTCCTTGACTCTTAAGAAAAACACAGATAAATTGGAGTTAGTAGAATGTCCAGCCACTTGTTTTCGGGTCACTGTCACTTAGTTGTCAGACTATTTGACCTCTTTTGAATTTATAATAAGAAGAATAGCGAAAAAGTATTGCATCAAGTTTTGTCTAAATCAGTTTTATGTTTTTTTTTCAGGTTTGTGTATATTTTCTGTAAGGAAGACATAAAAATTTGTCTTCATCTTTGAAATTACTTCAGACTTTAAAATGGTGTTAGGTATTTTTGTTAAGGTAAATGGTTATATTTTAATTTAAGAATGGATTTTTTTTTTACATTTACATTTAAGGGATTCTTTTTTTTTTCAGTTTAAGTTGCTTGGTTTTTCACTTCCTCTTTTTTATCTCGCCATATTTCAAGGCTGAACTCTTATTTCTAATTTGAAAACTTTCCAGGTGATTTGTGTCTACATGAATTTATTTATTTTCATCTTCTGCACTTACTATCAAACTGAACAGTTAGCACCTTCGTTGTATATGTTAAAGGTTTCTAATTATCTGCAATACATGATTTAGTGTTTGGACCAGGTCTGCTCATTAGTGGGTGGTAAGCTAACTCAGTGGACCCATAATATTTTAAAAACAATAAATAGAATGCAATAAATAATATCACATGTAAAAACTCTGTTTTAGTTCTATAGCACGTGTGTGCAAAACTTGCATTCAGGTGCTTTTTTTCACCTTTTTACATTTTGGAAATTAAGATGTCAGAGTTCAGGGTACCTCAGTGCTGTGTCACCACATACTAGACAGTATCTTTTCTATTTTAGTAGTATATGTAATATTGATGTGTTTTATAATCAGTGGCACCATAGATCAGTGAGATATATGTATGTAAAGTCTATTTCTTACTGTGGGTTGCAGTGTAACATGTATAAATGCCACTGACTTAGACAGTTATGAGACACGGGTTCCTTTATGACTTTATTAAACCAGCTCTGTGGTCTTTGGTAAATCATTTCTCTCTGTATCTCAGTGTCTTCATCTCTAAAATGAAAGATCAGTATAATCTATGAGAGTTCTTCCAGTTCTAAGAGCCTCTAAAACATGTATAATATCTTATCCTGGTAATTGTGTCCTGTTTATATGTAAATTGTAAGTAGATTCCATGGAAATAGGTAGTATTTCTAACACCTCTTTTTTGTACCAGTTATGCAGTTCATAATAGACTTTTGGTGCTTACTAATTTATTGCTATGACAAAGTTACTCTTAATAAATTGCCACTTTATAAATGTACCACAGAATGAGAAAAGCATTACATATATTAAAACATCTTCAAAATTCTCTTGTCTAAAGGAAGATGTATCTGTGATGAAGGGATTGAAGTTCTCACATTGCACTTTTTCACATTATATGTATACTTTAATATATTCATAAATTAAAGAATAATTTAAGGATTTTTCTGAGATTATAACTGATTGGATTAATCATGGATGTATTTTATATGTAATTAAACAGATTACTATAACCAGGTATTTTGGAAGTGAATTTATATAGGGTCACAGAAAAAAGTTATTACTAATATTTATGGAAAGAACAATGCATAGCATATATATACACACATACAAATATGTGTGTGTGTGTGTAGTAGTATATAGAAGTTCAGTAGAATATAAGGTAAACGCATATTTCTGAAAAATATTTCCAGTGTTTTAACATGAACTCATTTATACTGCTCAAATTCACAATTTTAGAGATTGTGTCTTTTAAAATATGCTTAGTATTTAATGAAATGTAAGAGAGATAATCTCTAAGAATTTTCCTACCATATCACAAATAAAGAATATATGCTGCCTAGTTAACATTTGAGGTTTGGTGGGAAAAGGAGTGTTGTGGACAGGTTTTCTCATCCCATAGACAAAGGATCATCAAACAAAATGAATTTGTCCACTCAGTCATTCCAGAAACATATATGGAGTTGGTTTTGCAGTAATCTCCCCTATTATTTTCTCAGAATTTAGGAATATAATTCATCCAGAACTGGAAAGAATCTCTTTTGAAACAGCTAGGTAATCATTTAAAATTGATTTACCTCTTATGTGAAGCAGGTTGTTTACCCTTACAAATATTTATTCTCCTCTATCCAATCCCTAGTTCATTCAACAAATATTTTTTGAGTACCCAATATGTGCTAGGGTTCACAGAAGATTCTTTTTGATGAAAGTCATGGAAGCAGAACAGAAGAATAATTTCATTTCCACCTCTCATCCATGGATATTCTACTGTCAGCCCCAAACAATTTTGGTCAAGATACACCAGCAAGCAGCTTTGGCTAGCAGAAGGAATATGGACTTTAGAAATGGGAGGTGTAGTGGGCAGAATGCTAAAACGGCCCCTAAGATTTCCTGCCTCCCCCTCCCCGCCCCACCCCTGGTGTACATACTGCGTATAATCCCTGGGACTACCATATGATGAATTTTACTCCTGTGATTAGGTTATGTTAGGTGGTACAGTTGCCCTTAAGATAACAAAATTATCCAGATGAACCCAACCTAAACATACATATTCTTTTAAAACAGAGAGTTTTCTCTAGCTGATTTTAGGGGAGGAAGTTAGAGATGTGGAGCTCAAGGAATTGACCCGCCATTGTTGGCTCAAAGATAGAGAGGCCTCATGGCAAGGGATCTGGGCAGCCTCTAAGAGCTGAGGGCAGCGCCACGCTAACAGCCGGCAAGGAAACAGGGGCCACCTTTATGGAACCACAAGGAGCTGAATTCTGCCAACAAGAAGAAACTTGAAAGTGGAATCTTCCCCAGAGCCTCCAGATGAGAACTCAGCTGGGGCAACACCTTGATTTCAGCCTTATAATACCCCCAGCAGAGGACCCAGCCATGCTATACCTGACTTCTGACCTACATACCTGTGAGCTAATAAGGGGGTATTTTAATGGTGTTTTTTAAGTCATTACGTTTGTGGTAAATTTGTTATGCGGCAATAGAAAACTGACACAAGAGGGATCTGGTCAGATAA